TTTTGATAAGAGTGCAACTGAACCCTTTTAGAATATCATTTAAAAAAGGCAACTATGATGCTAATCATTGTTTTGAAGAAAAAAAGTTGTTTGAATTCTATTTTCTGAGTTAAAGGCATTTGAAAATTGAAAGTAATGAAAAAGAGTCGAATCCTTCGATCTGTAGGCCATGTTTGTTTTTATCGGCGCCAAAATTCTTTTCGGTCATTTTTTGGCTGTTTGATACGCTCAAAACAGCAGCCTGGACCCGATACCCCACGATTTACAATTGATTAGCCAATMAAAATGCCCCAAAAATTGATTACGCCAGAGACCTAGTTTTCGTCGCTGACCTAAAGAGAGCGCAGGCTCTGGGAACGAGATTGAATGGCTAGAGGCTCATTTTGTACTGCGCATGCGTGCCCGACGCTTCGTTGASCCTCGAGAACGCCCCCATTTTGGTAAAATGGTTATTAACACGAGAAAATAAAATTCATATCTTGAAGCCAACGTGTAATGTTTTTCTGTATAAACTGCGATTATTGATTGCTTGGAGTATTGATCATAAGAAAAAAAGATAAAGTGACACTTTTCTACTTCGATGAGTTGTTTGTTGCGTACAGATATCGTGTAATCAACTTAAAGCCTTGTTAAAGCATTTCAGCATGCTCATTCAAAAATGTCAACGGGGACATTTAAAATTTCGATAAATTTCAGATGCAGCTATCATGCGATGAATTTCATATTTGAWTGTCGGTGTCGCTGATAATGATTTATCGGCTCATAATGGTGCCAATACTCAAACAAACAAATCTCGCACTTCGAAATGTGTGAAGTACTAAAAGTTATCGACAAAATAAAATAAAATCATCGCACTGGACTGCTATTTTTACAAAATTATCAGCTTGATATATGTCCATAATTAATAGGAAAAAACTATGATATGTACGCTACTAATTTAGAACAGCAGATATATAAAAACACTCGAAATATTAATTGATATATCCAGCTAAATCAACCTCACAGTACTTCATTTTCTATTAGAAACCACTATTCTATAATTTTCCTCTTCTCTGAATTTTATATAAGCGTTCTAATGAACCGTATCCAACCAGGAGSCCATTACTAGGAGCCTTCCTCTTGATTCCAATACTGGCTAGTAATGMGCTCCTGATCTCTAACCCAACAACTACATTCCAGTCAGTGCCCTCGCTAGTTACCACAATAAACACATTAACACCCACCTTTTTCTTAGGCAAAAACTCGTTAGCAAGAAAAAAACACCTCTACTTTGAAATCATTCACGATAACAAGTAGTTAAAGCTTTGATTTTATTGATAATGCGATGTTGACACAACATATTCACATCATATCTATACTGAATTACTGCATCGGGAGGCCGGCGTATTAATTCAATTGTTGAGAGACGATATTGAGCTGCATTCTGTGAACAACCACCCTTTAGGTCTGTTTATAGAGTAGTTTATTTGAATCAAACCGGAGCAGCGTCGACGTGTTTTTTTTAATAGCGAGAGCTCAGGATTCTTTGTTCAATTTTGTTTGTTTCTAGTTTTTAAAGAAGCATATGAACCGAAGAAAATACATTTTCATTGATAATGTTGGAAAATTCGAGGAGTCATCGACTTTTGGAAAGTCACTGCTTAGTTCAAGCGAGGTCTTATACCGGCGACTACGGATTGCTAACTCTAAGATAAATCAGAAAGAACTGATTGAAGACATTATCAATGCAACCAGATACAGACAGGAAAAAGAGATAGCAGAAAAAATGTTAAAAGAAGACTTAAAACTWAAGAAACGCKCGAGGCCTTCAAACGAAAAACTTCCCATAACGCGACGACGCGAGAACAACCAAAAAAACATCAACGAATCAATTTTACCAYTGCTTCCTGTTAAACGAAAACCACTCGTTAGTCGATTTTATAACGAGGCGCAGGAAAGGGAGATCATTGAAAGTTACAAAGAAGCAAAAAAGATTAAGGAGTGTTTCCATCTTGCTTTTAAGTACTCTAAAAGTGAGAAGCGTTCTCCAATTCAGCATTCGTCGRGACAGAAAATTAATCAGGACGTGGCGAATGATTCAAAAGCAGACATCTTAACTGACAGTTCTGGTAGGATTTTGAAGATAATAGTAACATTGCCATACACCAAACATTGTAATAATGATGGACATTAAGCCCTTTAAGCGCTTTGTCATGTTATCTGCAATGATGGATATCAAGCCGTTAGCTATTTATGCGGTATAAAGTGGTTTCGTTAGAAATTGTTAACAAGACATTACAACATTGCATTAGAAACACCTTATCAGGTTCAGTCAGAATTAACATTCGCAATAGGGACGTGAGGTCAGAATTGTCAGACTAAAAGAGGGGAGGGGTGGGGAGGTAACGCCCAAGTTCATCAACTTTAACGAGAACCACTTCCGTGGAACACAACGTGTCCAGGTCCTGACGTAAATTGTTTAGAATTTTACCGTGAAATATATATTTTTATTAGCGGCGTGATGGATTTGATAGATTYTGCGTATAACATTTTCCCACTATTTACTCGGAATATTTTATCCGTAGCAGCGAAATTTTGGTTGCATTTGCATTGTACTCTGACAATTTTAAAAGATGGAAGTAGTTCGCTTCGTATTTTAGAAAGAAAAAAAAAAAAAGGTATATTTTACAGTTAAAAAAAAGAAAGGAAGCAAAATGAATTTTTTAGAAGTGCTCGAGTCGAGAATCGAGCCCGCGATCCTCGGTTCGAAGCCGCTATTCGATTATGTTCTTGTGTGTAAAAAACCCTCTAAAATAATAATAAACAAAAAAATACAGAAAAAATACAGTTTCAGTTAAAAAGAAATAAATAAAGAAATAATTTTTTAGACGTGCTCGAGTCCGGCGACAATCGAATCTGGGATCGGAGTGTCTAAACGTCAGGCAATGGATTTTTAAAAAACATTTCTAGCAAAATCATACTTTCAAGTGATAGAGCAAGAAATATACCAAGAAGTCAAAAATACAATTACTGTTCGACCAGGTTGTATTTACAGAACAACGGCAATGCACACTCTGATACTTTCGATTGCCTGACAGAGTGTCCCGAAAAACTAAAAATGTCAGGCAATCAAAAATCTCAGAGTGTGTGTCTAGCCTCCTTCCCAGGCTACTCCAACAGAAAAGGACTTTTTTCTCTTCTTGATCTTCCTGTGTTCATAATCTTGACCGAGAAGAACTGGTGTCGGGACGTTAGGAACAACGAATAATTTCTGAGCTACCAGGGTATAGTAAAAAGATTTTGTTTGATACAAATTTTTCTACCTTCTTTCGCTTGGTAAATTTTAGTATGCGCAGAAAACATGCGCGAACTGTCATCTAGTTGGCAGACAGCTCCTCCTGCTTTTCCTTCATTCCTAGCCCCTACCCCTCAGGCAGCTTTTTTTGCCTTAACACAGGRATCCCACAGAGTAGAGTTGCTTCTGAAGGAGGCTAGTGTGCAGGTGTGTGCCGTGGTTGTGAATATACAAAACTTTTCAAGAACTTTCCGAATTCTTTACATTTCTATTGTACTATTACTTGAACTTAGTAACGGTTCATATATTTGTTCTATCAATTTTTCAAAAAAAAAAAAAGATTGACTAATAAAGTCGCTCAGGGGTACGGCGACTTGTGGTCCCTGAGTAGGTTTGCACTATAAATAACCCTCGTACCCTGCATATATCCAATATATAGCAAAACCGTTCAGAAATCTAATAAAAATTGTGCCTATCATTCACCATAATTGCCAGTTTTCAAGGGCTCGGTCTATCCTATAACATTTATAAAACAATACATGTATACCAATAAACAATATACCAATAAACATACTGTATGAATATA